AAAAAAAAAAAAAAAAAAAAAGTGGGAAAAAGGAAAAATGGAAGAGGAACAACCTTTCTTGCAACTTGAAGAATATCCATAAACCTAAAGAGAAAATAGTCAAGGAGACTAAAGGCTCAAACTCAGCGTACGGTCATACAAATAGATTTTAAATTGTATCAGAAATCAGCTATTCCAACTAGACAATTTGTGAACTCAAAATTATTCTGGGAGTTTGCCAAGCTTGAATAGGTTGAGGTAATATCCTAAACTACAAATCAGTTCTTAAACACAAGCAGTTATAAATACGAAAAGAATTTAAATAAAAGTTTAGGGGGAGGGGAGGTTACCCTAATCTAAAGCCATAGCATGCCACAAGCTCCAATGGGGACTTACAGTTGTACTTGCAGATCATCAATCAACAAGGAATTGCTGGCAACAGGATTCCAACCAACAAAAAGAGCAATAACTAAACTTTCAAACAAACACAACAGAAGTTACTATTGTAACAGTAGCATGATCTTGCAATGCTAAATCAATAATGTAAGAGCAGCATAATCTTAGAAAGCTAAACCAATAATGTAACAGCAACATGATCTTGCCCTGCTAAACCAGTAATGTAACAGCAGCAAGAATCATGATCTTGCTTTGTTAAACCAATAATGTAACAACTAAACCAATAATATAACAGTAGCATGAATCATGATTTTGTCCTTTTAAACCAATAACGTAACAGCAGCATGATCCATGCAACAGCAAAAAGATGTTTCACGGTCAACAATTTCACCTGTATAGCAGCTCAAAAACAACTGTAGCATAGAATCAAAACCAGATTTTAACACACACCAGCAGATGACTGCATTCATTTATTTGTTTCATTCTTTTTATGGTCAATGACTCCATACATAGACCAAATAGTGCATTATCATCTGTTGTGGGAGGTTCTATGATATAGAAAGTCTAACATATGTCATTAGAGGAAATTTAAATGCAAATAATAATACATTCAGTCTGTCAATCAAGTCAATGCAAATGTAAAAAATCATTCATTTCTTGAGAAATATTAAAGAAATAAAATCACTTTCTTTGACCAAAGACATGTAGATATTCATATGTAGATGTGTGAAGTAAAAAGACTCAAACTTAAACTGCTAAAAATGGTGGACCCTCCAGGATAGATGCATATCTAGAGTCACCTTTGATGCCTTCTTTCCCTGCCAGCTTCGATTTATGAGTACCATATACTTAAGACTCTAGCAAATTCCCCCTAGTATCATGGATAGAATAAAATTAACAAGTAATTGTTGTACCTATGATTTTGATGATTACAAAACACATTTGAGTGACTAATTGGTTTATTTAATTGTGTAGTTAAGTTGCTAAAAGATTGCAAGTAAACTTGGATTGCACTAAAAATAGACCAAAAGGATTCAAAATGTGCAGAGAGTCGGCTCTGGTAAAGTGCAGTTGGCTCTGGTGAATGGAAGTGCAGAGAGCCGGCTTTGGAAGCTGCAGCCAGCTCTTCGGGCAAAAATTTGAACACCGTTGTTTGGTGCGCGTAGAGAAAAGACGCAAAGCCGGCTCTGGCTTTGCAACCGGCTGTGAGGGTGCATTTAATGCACAACGGTTGAGTCATTTGAAGATTATTTAATGTATTTAAGGTCGGAGTTGCAAAGCCGGCTCAAAGTTTTGCAGCCGGCTCTCGAGGAAAACAGAATGTGCAGGAATCCCACAAAGCCAGCTCTGGAAGTTTAAGCCGTCTCTAGGAAGTTAAGTCGACTCTTTTGACAATCTTGCAACTCGAGCTTCGCGTCCTGCAGGGCATTTAATGACCCCCAACGGCTAGAAACGACTATTTTCGAGCAAGGGGCTATAAATATGGTTGGTAACAGATGTGAAGAAGTTTAGAGAGCATTGTATTGAATATCTTTACCTACCTACATGAACTTTAACTTGAGTTTTTGATCTTTGAGAGATCTTTGTTTGTAATCCTCTTCTTGTGCTATTAGTGAGTGATCTTGGGGATGTGTTGATTCCTTCAAGAGTGATCTGTAGAGAGGATCTTTGGGATTTAAGTGTAAAGGGGTGAGATTTGAGAGAAACCCTTCTTCTTGTAAAAGATTGAGTGGCTCCTTTAAGCCACCATTGTTTTTCCTAGTGGAGAGTGTGGAGGAAATCCTTGGTGAGTGAAGTCAAGGTAGAGGACTAGGCTCCAAGTGGTTGGACTGAACCTCTATAAAATCATTGTGCAAGCTCTTCTTCTCAACTCTCTCTTTAATTTTTGTTTGGTGGTTGCAAAGAGGCGAAAATTCTCCAACTCCAATTCACCCACCCCTCTTGGAGTGCATTGAGTCAACAGTAATGGAACTTATAAACTTCAGCCAAATAAAATCCAGTCTTGTCCTAGTAAAATTCAGGGGAAAAAACAAAGTAACCTTCAACAACCATATGGGTAAGTCCTGTGAAAGCCCACCAAGACATGAACCACCTATCAACTTTTGATACCTTGCTCCATCTCCTTGGTACATCAAGAAAATGTAAATGAATTACAAACTCCATCGATTTCTGATCATAATGGTATCTATATTACATCTAATGATCATTATTTGAAGGACCCAACAATCCAACTTCCTTCAGTAGTCGGTGTTGATTACTTGAAGCTTCAAGATAGTCGTAAATTTGAAATTGCTTAGTAGTTATATGGACTGATTCTTATGAATAAGGAATTTCTACTTGATAAACTATTCGAACATTCATCGATACACATTTCAATTCAACACACTACCTAACATATTTATTAAAAATTATTATTTTTCATTTGAAATAAAAAATAGAAAAACTCAAAGATATAGTCATGCATACAGATGTAGGAATTAATTGGATAGATTATAATTATATTATATTTTAATAATTAAACCGAGATGAGTGTTAAAAAGTGTGTTAAACCGAAAGTATACACCAATCATTCACTACAAGAATTCACTGTATCACAGACGAGAAACCATGTCAGAAAAAGAGGGAATCTGGTCGGTGAAAGAAAATGCCCACTTGAATCACGCGGTAATGGGTTTCTCGGTGAAACCGAGCTCGGTAATTCAATCACCGACGTAGATGAAAATCACGTCGGTAAACGCACTCATAATTACCGACAAAGAACATCTTGCAAAGAGGGAGCCAGAATAGTCCACCGGAAAACATCTCTGGTTCCCACGTCGGTAAATTATCGATAAGCATAACGTCTGCACATATAGAGGAGCCTCGAGCCCTGTGCTAATCACCGACGAACATCACGTCTGACAATGCAGGAAAAATGCTTCGCAATTTGGGCCATGTTAGTAAATCACCGACAAAAACCACGTCTGAACTACACAAAGATCTTCGTTGCAGGTTCAAAATCATCTCCAAAATTTTAGGCACCAATTTGTTTAGGCACCATTTTTTATTTTTGTTTTCTTAGTTACCGACGAGAATCATGTTGGTAATTAACCCTGAAAAAATAAAAAAAATATATCTTGAATTCAGCTCATATTAAAATTAATATATATATTTATTGTTTAATTAAATTAATTTACAATTAAACATTAAGTAATTCGTAATATTTAATATTATAAAA